ACAATGCTCTAGAAGTATCAAAAAGGCCTTGATCTCATCTTTTCTGAAGGTTCAAAAATCACAAAGCACAAACCTCTAGATGCAATATTAGTAATAAAGAATATTGTAGTGATCAATTCAAGTTTAATGAAACTTCGAGATATTAGATAATAGAGTATAAACCAGCAAATTTGTCACTATTAGAAGACAATAGACCTTATTAAAAAAAAGGTTCTTGATTGTCTTTAAACCACGTAATACCCAACTAACACATTTTTCATATATGCATGTCACCAAAAAAGCTATCAAGAAGAACCTTAAAAGTCACAACACTAAAAAAGAAGAACTTGGTTGCCTTCATTGGGATTTGACACATGTCAAGAACTAATAAAACATATAGGTCATGCATAAGAACTCATAAAGTCAAATATCTCATCATAGACCTCCAAAATAAAAAAAAAATTAAAACACAATAAAAATTTACATTACATATTACACTCATGGTTGTCTCACTGACCATTAAAGTGGGAAGAAATACATGTAAAAGAACTCAAAGTAACATTGAGATTAAAGATGTTCATCATTGAATAAATCATCAATACAAAAAACAATAAACATATGTATAACATATTATAAATAAAATAACAAAAAAAAGGTATAATCACTCAATTAAACCGCCAACGATGGTATATGTAATTCGCTCTCTCGACTTTATCATCTTCTCTGCACCAACTCAAAGTAACATTGAGATTAAAAATGTTTATCATTGCATAAATCATCAATACAAAAAATAATAAACATATGTATAACACATTACAAATAAAAAAACAAAAAAAGGTATAATCGCTTAATTAAACTGCCAACGATGATATATGTAATTCGTCTCTCAACTTTATCATCTTCCCTGCACCTTTACCATCCTAGGCGCAAGTCTTAGGCAAATCACTTTCAACCTTTGATAAAGATTGCCCTTAGGATATTCATATACTTTAACAGGGATATGAGAATGATTTTCATAAGTCTTATTGAAGTCAATGTCATTGCGTAAATGATGCTGATGAATATAGTTGTGTAGAGCCATATTGTGGCAGCCACAATATGCACTTTCTTAAGAAACAAATGTGTCAACATATCTCACAATATGACATATTTTTTCTTCCAAACTCAAAATGCTCTTTCAATAACATCGCGTAAATATTAGTATCTCTTATTAAACATCTCTTACCTGTCCTAAGTGATATTGCTAGCATTTTCAAAATCAACAATGTGATATTTAGTATTCATAAATGACTTTAGAAACCTACTTAGTAAGAGGTATCCAACATCGACCAAATAATATTTATCTGACATAAATACAATAATTAGTATTGTAGTGAAAACACTTTCTCATTAGTTGGAACTCAAATAAACCTGGGGGTGACTATCGAAAGTTGTATTTCTGAGTTTTTGCAAGAAATTGGAAGATGTGAATGTCACATATAATCATGACATTTTGTGTTAGTGATCTCCATCGCCTAATAAACAAGATATTTTCATTATTCAAAACATATGCATCCACATGTGTTTCATCGATCACTCTAATATAATTCTAAAGCGTTTAACAAGGTTATTTAAATTATTGTGTTCGTTTGAATTCTCAGAAAAATGAATAGATATAATTACCATAAAATATGACATATACTGCTGGTTTTGTGAAATCTCTATGTGGGTCCTTTCGAATGTTGGCTCATTAGGTTTAATCATTTATGATAAGAAACTGCCTAGTGCAATCAACCCATTTGAAAAATATCTATTGATTGTTTCAGATGAGTGCTGGAATTGCTAAATGTATCCTCTCATATATTCATCCGTGATAAAATGTAGAGGGTTATTGTAGACTCCTCTCTGGAATTTATCCTGAAGAAGCCAGTAAGTTCATGATTCCTGTGTAGTTCTTTCAAGAGATCGATGAATGATGGTTGTGTCATGCGAAACATATTGTTAAATCTTGTTGGGTGTTTCATAACAGACTCCCTCGAAACATATTGTTAAATCTTGTTGGGTGTTTCATAGCAGAACCCACTTATCTCTAATGTATGAAGATATCATGCAAGGAGAGCGAACAATAAATGAGTTGTAGTACTCATACATAAAAAACAATACAGTTACAATTCTTATCTTTCTTTGCCTATTTTATTTAATGTCTGTGCATCTAACACATATAAGAATAACCGAACTAACGACTATCTGAACATGTTTCAAACAAGCGACAATCATAAATAAATTTTGAAAAGCAAATAACAAATTGTACGATCCAGTTTATCCAGAGTATATTTAAAGCAACATAGATAACGTCTCAATGAAAAACAAATATAAATTGTTGAACTAGAAAAAATGGAATTCAAGCACCTCTGTTATCATAAAAATATTTTAAGTAATTGACCCTATGACCAGGGGTTATTGTCATAAAAAACTCTCTTCGGGTCGGGTTATCAAGCAACTTCATAGAGAACAAGTACAACTTGTACTCGTAAATTTTTAATTTACTTCTAAATTTTGCATTACTTACTAAATGGAAGTTGTTTCTGATGTGTCAGAGTCATTAGTACATGAAAAAACGAACTATAAAATTTGGCTTCTAATGAAAACAACTTTTTTTTCTTTTTTCAGAACCCTAAGAGGCTTAAATCGACTGGTAGATTCAACTTCATTAAGGTTAGGGCTGGGGGCTTCATTAGATCCAAAAGTTAGCTTGACATCCACATGCTTAATTATGCCAACAAACCCTCTCTTATGCATGATTGCCCTTGGCAACAACTCCACTAAACATATGATCCAAATTTTCTTCAAGTTCAAGGTCAATACCACAGAACTTAAAATTTTAAGCATTTGGAGTGGCCTACAAATTAATGGATTGTTCATATGTTGATGTAATTGAAGAAATAAATAATTGATAAGTGACTTCATGTGTCATAAATTCTTACTTCCAATCTCTCAGCCCACCATTCTTCAGAAACATCAATCATTGTTTTATCAGGTCTCAACCTAAGCCTATGGATCCAAGCTTCAAATCTTTTCATATTTTTTAGTTCTTTCTCAATTGATCCCACTTATTGTTCAATTGCACCCTGTTTATATTTCCTTCTTGTACATTCCCTAAAATTCTTTATTATATTTTTCCACCCGTCTTTATTAAAATAGGTGGTTGGCTTTTTCCCAATTTCACCTTTTTAAGATAGAGGCTGCAAAATATTTTTTTGACATCTTTATCCTACATATCAGACACATATATTTTGTCTTTACCTTGGCGATACTAACATGAAAAAGAACTAAGAAACATAAATGTATAACATATAAAAACAAAGTGTCATTTAAAATACCATAATTTGAAAAGGAAATTAAAAGGAAACATCACAACAAATCACGAACACCGATATCACCACTAACAACACAACCACCAGCTTCTACATACACCATCAACATCACCACCACCAATGCACTGAAGAACCACACCCAACATTTACACACACCACCAACAAAACTACCAAGAACATCACAACCATGTCACCAAAATCCCATGACACAAACCAACCACACCCAACATACACACACACCACCACGGTATAACATCACAATCAACAACACCACCGCCAATGCACTAAAGAACCACATCCAACACCTACACTCACCACCAACAACACCAACACCATGTCACTAAAACCACATGACACAAAACAATGACACCCAATGCACAAACCACCATGACACAATATCACCACTATCAACGCACATCATTGCTGTACACAAAAATATCACCCACACCAACACTACAAACACAATTACCAACATTGAACATCCTTTCTCCAACAAAGAGTGAAAACCGCCAAAAAAAAAAATTTCTTCAACAAAGAAAAAAAACCCCCTAAAAACCCCCCCGCCTTTAAAAAAAAAAAAAAACCCACACTACGCTACAAACATCACAGCCAACCCAGCACATCTCTCTTCTTCCAACAAAGAGAGCAAACCTCTAATATAGCATATCCTTCATCCAATTGAACAAAAATGAAATAGAGAGGAGAGCCCCAACCAAGCAAGCTACATTGGGAAAAAAAATAAAAATAAAATAAAAATCTTTCAAGTAGAGGCAAAGAAATCGCAAGAAGACAACACATGCTACGACACAAAAACCAAAAACTGCAAAAAACCAAGCCCATAAACCACAAGGACCAGGCCACAAATGACAAACCTTCAAACATAAGCTAATTTCAACGCCAATAAGATAGAGATTACCAATCAGAAGGACATGGGAGAGTGGCACTTTAATCGAGTATCAGAGGGAAGGTAGGAAGGTAGGAGAAGAGAAATGATACCGAAACTCGCCAAACTTAGGGCAGAAGATATCACGCCGTCACCTCCCAAAAGAGCCCTTAAGAGATGTGGGCAGCCCAGGACTTAAATACTGTTTTTCGGCTCTACACCTAGCCGATGTAGGACTATTTATCCGTGACATTCTCCTCCACCCAATACCCTTACCCCCAGCGTCACGGATCGGCTCCCCCGAGGGTCCCACTGGACCATGGAGAGTCAATACACCTGACAAACAATAATCTGCTCTGATACTACTTGTCACCTCCCAAAAGAACCCTCAAGAGAGAACTATTTTTCGACCCTACACCTAGCCGATGTAGGACTATTTGTCTGTGACAACGCGCTCGAAACACAATAGAGGGGGAGAGGAGGTGGAGCTAGAGCAAGAGATTGCACGGAGTCGAATGCGAAGGCGTCAAACAGAAGATTGCATGGGGGTCGAAACACTATGAGCAATCATATAATTTTTCACGAGCAAAATGCAAACCCGCGGCCCACAATTTACCTAATTAATCCTTAAAAAACAGCAACATATATTTTTTGTAAACTAAATTTTAGCTGATTTAGCTATACAAAGCAAAATGCAAACCCGCGGCCCACAATTTACCTAAATAATCCTTAAAAAACAACAACATATATTTTTTGTAACTAAATTTTAGCTGATTTAGCTATACAAAGCTGAGCAACCTTAATTTTTCAAGTCTGGTGCTCCCTTCAGGGTTTATTATCGTCTTTTGGTCTCCTTTTCTCGCAATTAACTAAATTCCATCTCCGGCTATGCCGTCGGCGATCAACGGGGGACGTTAAAGTCTGGTGCTCCCTTCAGGGTTTATTATCGTCTTTGGGTCTCCTTTTCTCGCAATAAACTTAAGTCCATCTCCGGCTATGCCGTCGGCGATCAACGGGCGACGTTAGCTATCGACATGGCTTTACCCGGCATTGGGACCGTTACCAAAACCTCCTTCCCTCCCCTCCCACCTCTTTCCTTCTGTCCTCTCCATCGGAGCTCCTTCGCCGCCTACGAGGCTCTAGCGAAGCCAGACTTCCTCTCCGACAATGGGCATCGAGATCAAGCTTCCTCATCGCCTTCCACCTCTCCTTCTAATGGTATCCTGTACCAAATCCCTAGCCTTTCGTTTCTTACGAGCCCTTTTATTACGATTCGCTAAAACATTTTTCTGTTGATAGTGAAAGGAACCGAGTGCATCAGAAGGTCGCTATGGAAGAAAATGAGTTCGAAGGAGCTTGGGATTAAAAAATCAATGATATCAAAGCAGACGAGATCCGTTCTAAGTGAGCTAAGGAGGAGAGGTTGCTGCTGACTTAATCTACAATCTAGCCATTCTCCTTGGACGTGGAGTCATTAAATTAATTAATTTTTTTTTGGATTTAGAGTTAGGTTTTAATTCCACTTTGGCATGCATTGGTGCAAGTTAGACTATTTTTTATTTTGGTTGCAGGGTATGATGTCTACTTAGTCGGAGGCTGTGTTCGGGACCTTATCATGAGAAGGGTTCCTAAAGACTTTGATATCATAACCACTGCGAATCTTTCAGAGGTTCTTGCGTGGTGCTCTTGTGGTTGTTTGTTCAATAAGATGCTTCTATGTTTTATTATTTTTGCAATGGCTGATAACAGTTTGACCAAGTGATTATAGTTGTTATGCCCATATTGTCACGGATTATACTTTGAGTTTTCTTGATTTTGATTGTTACTGTGTAGTTATCCATTTCATGAAGTGAGTTTAGGAACATTTTTGATGAATAGTAATGTATCTTTTGAGTTAATGTTGGGCACAATTTGTTTATTATGTTCACTTCACTTCATTCATGTTCATGATGGTCATTTCACTTAAATTGCTCATCCTTTTGATATTGAGCTCTTTTATGGTAGTTCTTCTTTGTGCCACATTTAGGTTGCATTCATTGTGATGGAACTCATGTGATCTATTGGAGAGGAAGAATTTAGCACCTTTTATAGGCATATGAGGTAAGTAGACGAGCCAATATATTTTGGTTGAGTAAATGAGCTAATATATAAGCACATAGGGTGAATGCATTATGAAATGAATAAACAAGAGACTAATCATAATTTATGAAAGAATTCCATTGCATATTCTTTAAATTAGATAGTTTTTAATTTTAATCCTTTCTAATATTTTGTTTGTGTGTGTGATAGTCCCAGCTTGTTACGTTAGCACGAATATGATAGATGGCCATGATCTTTGATAAATATATTTATCACTTGTTCCTAACTAAAAACATTAGTAATCTTGTTGAAAAGCATGACATCCTGTATGAAATAACATTCCACTTAATATGTTTAGTTCATTCATGAAAGCACAATTGATGACAATATAAATGATGCCATGAATAAACAAGGGACTAATCATAATTTATGAAAGAATTATTGCAAATTCTCTAAATTAGGTATTCTTTAAATATAATCATTTTTAATATTTTGTATGTGTGTGTGTGTGTGTGTTTGTGTGATAGTCACAGCTTGTTAAGCTAGCAATAATATGATAGATGACTATGATCTTTGATAAATATATTTATCACTTGTTCCTAACTAAAAACATTAGTTATCTTGTTGAAAAGCATGACATCTTGTATGAAATAACATTCAACTTAATATGTTTAGTTCATTCATGAAAGCACGATTGATGACAATATAAATGATGACATGATTGTCATATTATAGCTTCATAAGTTGAATAATGGAGATACCAAGCTCTTTTTAAAAAAGTGTTCGTTTCTATTATTTTACATACGAGTGATCATAACTTTATATTTGGCCTTTGCACTAAATTTGGCCATAGATGGTTCTTATTTTTGTCAAATGACTAGGCTATCCTTAAGTTTTTTGGATTATCTCGTATGTTCGAGGGCCAGGGTTACGAATTTGATACCTTGGGTTAGTATGAAGAGGTGGAAGGAGGATTAATGGTTGGATGTGGTTGGCTTTAGGTGTAGAGCCCTGTATATGTGGGGTTGTGAATTTATAGTGTGGAGCTAATTAAGGACAAAAATTTTAAGGGATGATAGGAAGGCTTGTGAGAGCAAGGTTATGGTGTGGGCTTTATAGTGTGTAGTCTAAAATGTGGTAAACGAGATGGAATAGGATTTTGGTGGTTAGTGGGGGAAGGTGTTATTATGGCTTGTGGGGATGGTTAGTGTGGCTTAAGGTTTGGAAAATGGTAGGAGGTTGTGAACTAGTGTAGAGTGGGGGATCTTTTGCACGGAGGTGCGAGGGCCTGATGGGATGTTGAGCGATGGTTTAAGAGGTGTACGGGAGGGAAGGACTAGAAGATATCTATCTTAGGATTAAAGAACACATTTAAGAGTTCTAACTCTCATCAAAGAGATTGAGGGGTTCAACCGCCAAGCTAAATCAAAGTAGAAACTTCTTCTTTGCCATTGAATTAAGTAATTACCCTTCTTACAATTAGATTATCAAAACTTTATGCCTCTTATTTGTAATTTAAATGTTAAATTCCTTCTGTGAAGTGGAGAGTGGTTCATTGAATATTGAGGTGGCTTATGGGAATACAAAGGGAGTTGATTGGTCGTCTCCTTTCACAGAAAATTCTAGATCATGGCTCCTGAGATAGCTGAACATTCCCATAAATTGTTTGACACTCCTCCTTGAAGTGGGGGATGGCGGCTTACTTTTTTTTAAAGATATTTATTGAATTTAACATCTATATAATAAGATGCTTCTATGTTTTATTATTTTTGCAATGGTCATCTATATTAATTTAGTACTAGCTGTAATCAAATGACATAATCTACTAAATTCACGAAACCAATTTAGCTCTCATGAATGAGCTCTAGCTTAGGCAATATCCTCCTTTTCCCTTATGGTAGAACTTATAGGTTCACATTTAGCTTGTAGCTTGTTTTATGCTGAATAATTCTCAGAACCTTTCGTAAAATTTATCTTGCTCTTCTTATTTTTACTTAACAATATTTTATATATTTATTAGTAGTGTTTTCTATAACTAGAAGGCACATTGAATAAATGAATAATTTCTTTGTGTTTTCTCACCTAAGAATTTTAAGCTTCATCATTGTCATTTAACCATTAGCTAAAAAGTGCATTTCATTGTGCTTTTGAAAGTACTGACCACCAAATTATTAAAACATAAAAATTAACTCATTTAGTAGATTGAGTCAAGAGTAAAATACCATGTTATTAATATTATTTTTATGGGTTAGTACCTTATAAAAAATATAATTAAAGAATATCTCTTGGCTGTTAATACAAATTTAGATAAATATTTTGTTTCAGCAAAACATATTTAGCTACTATTTGATTTGTCTTGACTATTGTAATTCATGTTGTTTTGAGAAGCAACTTCATCCCCAATTCCCATGAAAATACAAAAAAGAATAAAAATCTTGTTAAAGTTATATCATATCAGTATACCTAAGTATAGTAAACTATCAATATTCTAAAGAATATCAGACTTAATGTTATAGGTCAAAAAATTTAAAAAAATTAAAGAAGCAAAGATGCATCCTAAGCATGTCAGGTATTTATAAATGATGCCCAAATATTTAAAACAATATTAGCAATTCGATAAAGCATGCCGATGCATTTAAATGCATCTAGGCACAATCTCAAATTTTTAATTGTTATATCTTAACTTAGTGGATCCAATATATTTTTGAGATGACCTAAACTGACTATAGTGTTTTCATGAGCATAATTAATCACCAATATTCCATATTAAGAAGAAAATAATCATAACGCTCCTTAGGATTCTTACTCAAATACACAATATCGATTTGATTGATTTGGTAAATAGGATAAGCATTCAAAGTTGACTTGGTTATCTTCTAATATGTAAGTTAAAATATGCATTTACATCAAAACCAAAATCAACTTTAATTAATTGGGAAACCTTGCCTACAAAACAAGGTTGTAAGACCTTTTTGAGATATGAAAACGACACGCTTTGATATTGGATATGCCTATTAATAAAAATAAGGACACATACACACATTAGACATTTTAGCTCTTAAAAATAAAAAAAAAATAAGTCATAGAAGTCAAACAAAATAAATATAGTATTAAGAATAATACATAAATAGTTAAACATCTAATTCTAACATTAACTTTCTAATGTAACATGAAAAAGGAGAGGATGTCAGCTTGGACTTATGCTAGAGAGTGGAGGGTTTCAAGGACTCTGACTTTTGGGAGAGGAGAAGGCATCAATGCTATAGGGGAGATAACATCGATGAAGAGTAGATAGGGAAATCAAAAGGTTAAGATCCTAGTCATGAGTAAGAAATGGGAAATATTGGCGAGAGAATTTTTTTTATATTAGTAAAAACATGAAATATAAAAAAAGTATTTTTAAAAATATTATTTTAAAATTTAATGAAGTTATTTATGACATGCTTGTCGGAGATGATGTTCTTTTCATTTTTAATGATATTTTAATTTGAGACTTGTCCATTGCTTATGATATGTGTCAGACACGTATCCATGCCAAGCATGTGTTAGATATTGCATGACTCTTTAACTAGAACTATTGGTACATCATAGGGGAATGTCAGGTAAACTATTTATATGAAGCAATGTCATTGGTATGTTACTTCGGGAGATACCAAAAAAACTATATATGCGGTGGAATAAATTCCTATTACGTTGTCTACAAGCTTTACAAGGTTGTACCTCATATAGCTCTTATAGGATTCATAATTAGTATTGCTGATCATGCTATCTTTATTCAAAACTCTTCATCTAGCTTGTTGATTCTTGTAGTGTATGTGGAGGACATGCTTCTAATTGGAGATGACATTTTTGGCACCGTTGAAATAAAGCGTTATCTTTAAAAATGCTTAAAACCAAAGATCTCGTGTCCCAAAATATTTTCTTGGCATTGAATTTACATATAATAGCTTGCTGACTCTACCATTAAAATATTTTCTTGGCATTGAATTTACATATAATAGATGTCTTTTTTCTCAAAGAGATTATGTAATAAACCTTCTTGAAATGTCTATTTTCTCTACCATGTATATTCTACAAATATTTTAAAATGTTAAAACCTTTGAGGATGCTTCTCGCAGCAGATGTTTGGTTGGTAAGCATTTTTATGATTATCGCTAGACTGATATATTCATTGATGTCAGTGTGATGAATACACGCATCCAAGGTTTCAAGAAGTATAAGAAAATATTTATGAGGATTTTAGAATATAGAAAGGACTAGTCTTTCAAAGAAATAATCATTTAAGGTTTAAATCTCTTATGGATGCTGACTATTGAAGATAGGAAGCCAACGTCTTGATATTGTATCTTTGTTGGTGGAATTCTTGTGTCCTAAAGGAGTAAGAAGCAAAAAGTTATGGATAGATATTGTGCTAAAGCAAAATGAGTGGTCTTAACTCACTTCAACTGTGAAATATGGGTAAAAATATTTTTTCAAGTAGTTTGATTTTTCTATTACCTTGTCAGTAATTTTAAACTATGATAATAAAGGTACTATCTTTAATGCTAGTAACTTAATTTTCTACAAAGGACTAAACATGTGAACGTTGATTTTTCATTTTATTGAGTGCTAGTATGTCAAAAAAGACTATTTTTACGTATATTGTTAACAAAGAATAATTGTTGATATATTTGTAGAGGATCAAGAATCTCTCAACCTTTCAAACTTATAAAATTGCATCTAGTTAATATATACACTCAGAGGAAATCGTGATGTAGGAAAATACCAAGTTAGAAAGTTTTTATCAGAAGTTCAACCTTTGATCAAAGGCAATATACTCAAAATTAGTTTTTAATTTGATTATTAGTGAAATTAATATTCTGCTTTTCATTTGTCTCATATTTATGTAACAGTAAATTGTTGAATTGGTGCAGGTTAAGAAAGCCTTTTCAAGGTGTGACATTGTAGGAAAGCGGTTTCCCATTTGTCATGTTCATATCAATGATTATATTGTTGAGGTTTGTACTTGATGCTTTTCAAACCAAGCATTAGCACTTACCTGAAGTTTTCAGTGATCATTCGAAAAAAGGAATATTTACATCCATGCCACTTAATTTCTTATGTATTTACTATTCTTATGTATTTACTTATCTAACACCTAAACTTTGATTTTTACATATATGCCACATTACCTATGCATTAAAAGGTGCATTTCTCTTTTTTAAAAGTTAAAATAGTGGTTTTTTTAATGTGAAATGAAAGATTTGGGTGGTATAAATGTAAAAAGTAATGTTTAGCTGTTAGATATGTAAATTCTACGAAATTAGATGGTATGTATGTAAATGTCCTTTGAAAAGTCAATGAGATATTTTCATGGGATATTCAACTTTTCGTAGCTATACTTAAAACTTAATCCTTTGTCTCGTCGATTTCCCATATGCAAGCATCTTTTGTGATGCAGGTTTCAAGTTTTAGCACCTCAGGAAAAAATTCAAGCAATCATGTTAGATATATTTCCCAAAGGCCTCCCGATTGTGATGAATTGGACTGCATGCGCTGGAGAAATTGCCTTGGACGTGATTTTACAATTAATGGGTTGCTATCTCATGTCATATTTTTAAAAAGGGGCATTCACATAAATACCGCGCAATTCCTATGTATTTTCATATCTAACACCTAAACTTTACTTTTTTACATTTATATCACCCACAACTTTCATATCATGTAAAAACAACACTTTCTTCACTAAAGTAAAATATACCTTTTCATGCATAGGAAAAGCGATATATATGTAAAGTTGGAAGTTTAAGTGTTATATATGTAAATAAATAGGACTTGGGTGGTAGGTATGTAAGTATTCCTTACAAAATCTTAACTATTGATTTATTGCTTTAGCAATCTTAACATTCTTAATTTTATAACAGCCTTTTGCATTTATGGATTGGTTTTTTTCACTCATGTTTGTTTGAATGACTCATCTTTTGTGCATTTTCTAGCTGCTCTAAACTTATCATTACAATGAAACTTGACATTTTTATAATTTATTGGTGTGTTTTTTGCTCAGATTGATGTTTAATCCATATACTCGGTTAGTTTATGACTATATGGGAGGCATGGAAGACATTAAAAAGGCTAAAGTGTGCATGTATTTCTTTAGACTGTTTTATTAACTTATTGCTGTCCTTTTGGTATTATTATGCTGACGGCCCTTCTTTTTTTTCCTAAGGTTCGAACTGTAATTCCTGCTCAGACATCTTTCCGAGAGGATTGTGGTAAATGAACATTCTAAATTTCTTGATCATTTGATATCATTGTTATATAGTGTTAGTTGAAAAGAAATGTTTATTTGAAAGAAAATTTACATGCATAGCACACAAATCTTTTGTATTTACATATCTCATACCCCAATTTTCATATTTTGATACATAGCACTTTGGTGGTTTATACCTATGCATAAAAAGTTGTATTTCACTTTTAAATAAAGGTAATAGTACTATTTTCAATGTGATATTAAAGATTTAGCAATGTTTGTAAATATGAAAGTTTTGGTGTGAGATATCTAAATCATAAAATTGTGTGCTGAATGCCCCTTATTTTAAATCTTTTTTTTCCTTGTGAAATATTACTCGCAGCTCGAATTCTACGGGCAATCAGAATTGCTGCTCGTCTTGATTTTCGCTTTAATCGAGAAACGGCTCAGTGTATAAAAGATTTCGCATCATCGGTAGTAAGACTCGACAAGGTGTATTTTAGTGTTTAAGGTGTATTTTAGTGTTTAAATTGTCTCTGTTGTTATTTCATAGTTGGGGCATTTACATACGTACTACCCAATTCCTATGTATTTACATATCTAACACCTAAAATTTGCTTTTTACATTTATACCACCAAAATTTTCCCATCACATCAAAATGCCACCATTTGAACTTATTAAAAGTGAAATACACCTTTTCATACATAGGAAAGGTGGTATGCAAGTTTTGGATACATAAGAATTGAATAGTATGTATGTAAATCTTCCTTTTCATAGTTTCCTCGGAAAACATGGTTTGGTTTCCTGTTCTCTTATATATGTGCAAGCAGGGAAGAATTCTTATGGAAATGAACTATATGCTTGCGTATGGGTCTGCTGAGGCCTCTATGAGGCTGCTTTGGAAATTTGGACTACTGGAACTTCTATTACCCATCCAGGTTTTTGTTTACATTTCGATATTGGTTTTTGTGCTAATATTATAATTGCTTGTATTATTAAAGGGGACATTTACTTGCATTCCACCCAGTTCTTATATATTTACATATCTAGCACCTACATTGTTTTTTACATTTATACCACCCGTATCTTTCATATCACATTAAAAATACACTTCTTTAACTTTTTAAGAGTGAAATACACCTCTTCATTCAATTTGAAAGATTTGAGTGTTACAAATGTAAAAAATTGAAGTTTAGGTGTTAGATATGTAAATGCAGAAGATTTGAGTGGTATGTATGTAAATCTTCCAATTTAAAATCACATGACTTTCTTTTATTGATATGGCATTTCTGCATCACCCAGGCTGCTTATTTTGTATCGAAAGGGTTTCGGAGGCGTGACAGCGGAACTAATATGCTCCTGGTAAATGGATGTTTGGAGTTTCTATAATCTTAAATATTTTGAATCACATTTCCGAACCAAAAGAGGCCGATTGGGATCACTTTTATTTTTAATTTTATTTTGTTTATGTTTTGTTTCGTGTTTTGATTTGAAACAAAACATACTTGCCTATATGATTAAAGTATGGTTGCTTTTAAAAACACTCAAAGCATCTAAAAACTGCTTTTAGTGCTTTCAAAAACATGTGAATTTGTTTTTATTAACAAAAAATAAAAGCATGCAAGAAACACTTGCAAACATATTTTTAAAAACAAAATAAAAAACATAAACATAAATAAAAATTAAAGGGTTTTTTTGGGATCAATTTTGTATTTTGTTTTAAAAAACATGCTTGTTAGTGTGTTTTTTACGTGTTTTTATTTTTGTTTTTAAAAATAAATTATATATATTTTTAAAAACTCAAAATAACTTATATGTGTTTTGCATTTTTTTAAAAACAACCATACCTTAAGGGCTTGTTTGGGATCAATTTTATTTTATTTTATTTTTTTGTTTTTAAAAATATATTTGTTTAACGTGTTTTAAATATATTTTTATTTTTTGTTACAAGAAACAAGTAAGTATAATTTTGAAAACACTCATAACAACTTTTAAGTGTTTTGAGTGCTTTTAAAAACCATATCTTAATCAAACATACCAAAATATTTTGTTCAAATCAAAACATTTAAAAAAAAAAAAAGGCAGAAGTTATCCCAATCTGCCTCTAGTCAAATGGACACACATGTTTTGCTTCAAATAAAAGAAAGTTTTGGTATGATATCACATGTTTATACAACAACAACAACATTCTTTTATCCCACTAGGTGGGGTAGGCTACAATAATTCTTTTTCTCTATTGCGTCATATTAAGTGTCATATTTTCATTTAATTAGATTAAGATCATTTTTCATACAATATGCCAAAAAACATAAAAATTTAAAAGATTATTTAAATCTTTTGAGTGTTTTTGAAAATAAAAAAACATGCAAAAAATATACTAAAAATATATAGGAACATATATGTTCTTCAAACAAAGCAAAAAAAAAAAAAGAAAGAAAAAAAAGAAAAAAAGAGAGTGATCCCATACAGACCATTAGTTTGTGTTACATTGGTTCTGCCATTTGTTACTTTTTAGCTGTCTTTAAATGTCATCACAATCCTTTCGTAACACGGACGTCCTTCACACGATTAACAGAAAGAGCAATAGGAGGTAGTTAACTAATTGGTAATTTCTTCAGGGAAATACATAGCAGCAAATTTCTTGTATATATCAAAAGCTACTTCATAATATAAACCTCCAGCCTTTATACCCAATACCAATTGACAGAGTATTATGGCCAACAAGTGAACTATGATGCAAAAAGGATAAAAGGTAAAAAAAATAGAAGTTCGTTAGAGGAATAAAATAAAGCTGCCAATGAAGAGTAGGAAATGTTTATGCTTTTGATTGTCAGATACTTGACATAGCAACATATTCTTTCACAGCAAATTTGAGATTTAATCCTTTCGAAGTTTTCGATTTGAGGTGTAAACTTCTCCAAACAGGTTGAAGCCTCATTTTGTTTACCAGAATCTGAATAGTCCCTAATACTGTACTAGTAGCAAGATTTAAATTTTTAAATAACAAATTAGAGAATTATCATTAGGGGCATTTGCATGCATACCACACAATTCTTATGTATGTACATATCTAACAGCTAAACATTGCTTCTTAAATTTATACCACCCAAATAATTCATATCACATCAAAGTACCACTATTTTAACTCTAAAAAAGTTAAAAACACCTTTTCTTACATAGCTAAGGTGACATATGTGTAAATATTGAATTTTTGGTGTTAGATATGTAAATACATAAGAATTAAGTGGCATGTATGTAAATCTTCCTTATCATTCTTGAAGTTTTACAGTTATTACGTTGATTTAATGGGTTTATGTGGGGATATTACTTTTGTCTATATGCAAGTTAGACCGATTTAGCAATCTTTTTTTTGCCTTTGGTGCTGTTTTTCTATGCATGATATCATTTGACAATCTGACTAACCATTGAATGTGTTGCTTAGGTTTTACTCTCAAATCTGGATAGATTTCTTGCACCAGATAGGCCGTGCCATAGTAGTTTATGGTGAGTTCTTTTGCTAGCTTTTTATTGAAATGAACTCGTTTTATTATTATTTTTGGAAAATTTACAAACGTAGTACACAATTCTTATGTATTTACATATCTTACACCTAAACTTCCATTTTACATACATAGTATTTTTTAAACCTATGCATGAAAAGGCATAATTGACTTCAAAAAAATAATAGAAGTGCTATTTTTGATTTGATATTAAATATTTTGTGTGCCATATGTGTAAATATGAAAGTTTAGATGAAAGATATGTAAATACATAAGAATTGTGTGGTATCTATGTAAATGCCCCTTTATCTTTTTTTGTCGTTCCTTTTGCCATTACTGTGTTCAGCGTTGCTTTTTGAAATTTGCACACATTCAGTGTTTCCTGGCTATACAAGGTTCATTAAAGCTCTCATATCTTATTAAGAATTCATATTTGCTTATTTCAATTTGTAATCAGTTTTCTTTTTTTTTAAATCAGCCTCAATGACCACAATATGTTAAGAGAATGAATTTAAATGGCATAAGTTACAATTATAATTCTTGAACTTAATATTGATTAGCTCTTTGAAGATTTCAATTTTCACCAATAGATCCCTTGAAGAATTTAATTTATGTTTTTAATTTCCTTTTTGCACTGTTACTAAACTATTAATAGCTTGCCAAATGGCCTTATTCTTCTACATTTGTTCTCATATAGTTTTTTGAACTGGTAGGTTGTCCATATAACCCTATTTTCATTTGCCCGCTCTGACACGGGAGCGTCTCCTGCATTAATGCAGGATCGCGAGTGCTGAGGCGCAGAGTTGTGCCTGGGCACATCCAGATGGTTTGGTCCAGTGTCCGTGAGGACCAACTGACTCTTCCAAGGGGAATACCACCTCTTTCAACTATTGTCGCTGCCCCTATCCCTCTTCTCGGTCACTGTTTCGCCCCAAACTGCAAACTACTATTGTTTGTACTGTCGTCCTTTACCGCCTTACTATTTCAGCCTCCCATACTCGCTGCCGCCACTCATCCACAACCCGGAAACCCCTTCCTTTATGTTGTTGCCACCTCTCTAAGCCCCTCTAACGACCATCATTACCACCACCCCCATCCCACCACCACCACCATCATCACCACTATCCTATATCCACCCTAGCCATGTGTCGTTGTTATTTGTTCTTTTAGTGTGTTGGTTGTAACTACATATTGACTTTTCCAATAAATACTATTTGTTTGCTTATTGTCATTTGGGTTAAGTCCGATATCATTTGGTATCAGAGCTAGCCCAACCATCCTTCTATCCTAGGGTTTCTAGCATCCACCAATACCCAACCCTATCTCCAACCAAAATTATTCTTTCCCAGCCTATATCACCCATACACCCTCTTTCACACCCAAATCCTAATCATAACAATGATGAGTAATTATTGAAAACTAATGAGGTATTTGCCACGAAAGGGATGCTAGTTGCGAGGAGAACTCTACAGACGGAATTGCAGAGGGATCCCTTGTAGTTGAAGCACAATATCTTTTTCCCCAGATGTACTATAAAAGGAACGGTTTGCACCTCATTATTGACGAGGGGAGCTATGAGAACGTGGTCTCCGGTTTATGGTGAAGAAGTTGGACTTGGCTACACAGAAGCATCTCCAACCCTATTCTCTGACCTAGTTGAAGAAGGGGAATGAGATACGATGGATCAACAGTTCTTGCTAGGATTTTTCGTTGGCAACCAACTGCAAGATCAGGTGAGGAATCATGGCAGTTTGATCGTAACACTCATAATGATGGGTTCAAGAACACTTACACATTTATGAAGGAAGGGAAGCACATTGTTCTCTTTATCATCAATGAGTCAGGAGCACATACACATGTCGTAGAAAAGCCTATGGTCCCATGTGCCGCCTTTCTATAGCCACTACGGGAAGCCCCAGTGGTAATGAATTTAGTCGTCTTAGAGTTAACAGAGGAGACCGAGCCACCAGAGACGATCCAACCTCTTACTAGTTGATTTTTAAGATTTGATGACCGATAGTCTATTAAAGGGTTTACCATGATTCAGAGATATCCAACATGCCATAGATCTTATTCCTTAATCGGTGTTGCCAAATAGTCCCACCTACAGATTGAGGCGAGTTGAGTATGAAGAGTTACAATGACATTTGTAAGATCTCATTGCTAGGGGGTTGGTAAGAGAGAGAACCAACCAACATGCCATAGATCTTATTCCTTAATCGGTGTTTGCCAAATAGTCCCACCTATAGATTGGGGCGAGTTGAGTACGAAGAGTTACAGTGACATTTGTAAAATCTCATTGCTAGGTGGTTGGTAAGAGAGAGAACCAGTCCATGTGTTCTCGTTTTAATAGTGCATAGGAAGGAAGGTTTATGGAGAATGTGCATTAATCACCAGATCAGAATGAGACCAGGGGGTGAATGGATGACCTCTTTCAAGACCAAAGATGGGTTTTACGAGCGGACAATCTTTTTCTTTGGGCTGTCCAATGTACCCAACACGTTCATGAGGTTGATGAATCAGGTGTTGCGGGTTTATATCAGAAAGTTTATGGTTGTTTACTTTGACGACATTCTCGTCTATAATAGTTCAAAGGAGGAGCACTTGTAAAATCTAAGGATGTTCTTTGAGGTCAGTCTAGTTCGTGCTCAAGCACCAAGCAAGAAGCTAGAATCTAGTAGCAAATGTCTTGAGTCACCACCACTTGTTGATCACCTCCATATAGGGATTCAAGGTGTTGAAGGAGTTGTATGAGGCAAATGAGGATTTCAGGGAGATATGGGAGTAGTGTTAGGAAGGGCCTACAAAACTGTACCATAGAGCTGATGGATATCCATTTTACCATAACAATTGTAGTCCCAAATGTTCGTTGAGGGAGTCCATCATTTAGGAGAGTCACAGCGGGGATTAACTGGCCTCTTTAGCAGAGAAAAGGCCCTCACACTAGTGAAGGTAATTTTTTTCTGGCCCAAACTGATGAGAGATGTGGAGCGGTATGTTAGGGAGTGCAGAGTTTGTCATGTGGCCAAAATTTGGGGGAAAAGTACAGGGGTATACACACCATTATCAATATTAAAGACTTCTTGAGTGGATGGGAACATGGATTTCGTGGCGAGTCTTCCATCGATGCAGCAAAACAAGAATTTTGTGATGATTGTGGTTGACCGATTCTCAAAGATGGCGCATTTTGTACCATGCCATCGAGCACTAGATGCATCGCCTGCAACTGATTTTTATTTCAGGGAGATCATGAGGCTGCATGGGATATCAAGTTTCTGAGTCACTTCTTTAGGACCCAATGGGGGAATCTTAGAACTAAGTTTCGATTCAGCTCAACAGCTCATCCACATACAAATGGCCAAACAGATGGTGAACAGGAGTTTAGAAAATCTTTGAGATATTTTATAAGGAAGAACATCAAGCAATGAGATCTGATTTAGCCTAAACCAAGTTTGCTTATAACAGATTAGTGAGTCAGAATTCGAGATGCACCCCCTTTAAGATCATTTGTGGCAGCAACCCTCTCACTATACTTGAGTTTGTACCACTTCTTCTAGGGAGGTTAGTATGGATCTTAAGGCAAGGGTACAAGATATTTAGAGGTTACACGAAGAGATTGAGAAAGGGATCAACAAGCAAAACCACAAGTATAAGGCACAAGTTAATAAAACCAAGAAGAATGTGACGTTTCTGGAGGGAGACCTGGTGTGGATCAGACTGAAGAAGAGATTTCTCATGGGATCTTTTGGGGAGCTCAAGCTTAGAGCAGATAAACCTTTTTGAATCCACAAGAAGCTGAATGACAATGTCTACAAGTTTGACTTGCTGGGAGATTATAATATTTTCCACGACTTTCATATGAGGAAACAGAAGCTTTGACATATGACGTCAAAGCTCCCCCAACCCCGGGAGACGGATGCTAGAGCGTCTCTTGCACTCACACGGGATTATGAGTGCTAGGGAGCAGAATCGCTCCTGGGCGCATCAGGATTGTCCGGTCCAACGTTCGTGAGAACCAGCCGACTCTTCGAAGGAGAGTAACGCCTCTTTGAAGTGGAGGGGCACATTCTTTGTTATCCTTTTACTATGTATTTTATTCATGTGATTTTGGTTTTTCAGATTTGATTGTGTTTTTATTAAGACAGGCGTAGGCATCCCCTGTTTTTCTGTATAAAGCTATATCCAAGGGGGAGTGATGCTTCAATTGTATTTCGTTCCAAGGTGGTGATTCTCCTCAAAAAGTCGAGTGGTGCTCCGATTGTATCCCGCTCTCGAGATGGTAATTATCCTCCACTTTTTCATCCTCCTCTCAGTTGCCGCTTTGTTCACAATTGCTGCAGCCACCCCAAAGACAGCACCTTTGTTGTCTTCTGCAACCCCCATAACTCCAAGTCATCCTTCTCAGCCACCTGCTAACTTTCTGACCCTTCTACCTTGTAGCTGGCTGCCTTTCCGCTCTTCCACATTGCTGCCGCCTCTCTTATCCCTTCTCCCTCACTGTTTCCTCCCCCAAACAACAAACTATTGCTATTTGGATTTCCGTCCCTTGCTGCCTTTCTGTTCATACCACCCATAATTGCTGTCATCACTCATCCCGAACAACGAGCTTTTTTGACAGCCCTAGCCACAGCCTCTCCAAGTCCCCTTAACAACCACCACCATCACCTGAGACCCACCCCAGCTGTGTGTCGTATGTCGTGTTATTGTTATTTCCTCTTTCAGTGTGTTGATGTGTGTGTCTATATATACGTGTGTTTATACATACATATATACATACTTACATACATATGTATATGTGTGTGTGTATAGATATATACTATTTTTATCATCATCATCATCATATTAGTTGTATAAATCATGTTGCATGAGAACATGCAATGATACCAAATATATGGCTATCTAGACCAGTAATTTGTTTGTCCCGGGAAGGGCATAATAAAAATAAAAGAAGTCTTATATTGGATTTAAATTTTTCTATGTTTGATACCAAGACTTTATTAATAAGTATCGACTGAGCCCAATAAAGAAAATGGGGAAGGAAAGAGTTAAATGTAACCGGAATCAATTAAAATATATTGGAATTATCATCTGGCTTCTTATTTATAGATTTAGGTCAGGAATCGGTACAACAATTATATCTACATTTACCTAATGCATGTAAAATTACACAGCAAGGCTTACAAATGCTTGGTGCATAAAAAAAAAGTCTTTCTAGCTGATGACTAAGTACTTGTTTAACTTCTGATGAGTTTAAAGCTAAGGACATGTTCCTAATCTCTTACACTTCAGAGATACTTTCTTGAAGTAATATTTTGAGGATTACCTGCAATAATCTGGATTAAGCTCTTTCTACAGCTCAAATTTTCACTTTTGTGATGACTCACTGCAAGTTTTTATTTATTTTTGTTTTTTATTTATCCTTGTTAGAGAATATAAATTTACTTGATTTGTATAGATGTGTGGCCGCTTCATTTTGTAATGAGTAAAGTGCTAATATTTACTTGGGGCCATTTTAGTCTCAGAATTTATAGAAGTGTCAAATGATGAATATTTCAGTCCGTATGTAAAGAATTAGAGATTAAATTGACACTATTATAAACTTAGGGGCTAAAATGGCCCTCTACAAAGAGTTGAGGACCATTTGGACGCATTTCTGATTTGAGAAAATATCTGTTTCAGACTATTTAAGGAAACTTTTCCTTGAATGATGATTTTTATACTGAAAATCATGAGATTTTAAACATTTTCTGTATAAATTCTTCTTTACCAATTCAGCTGTCATTTAACCCTCTATATTTTCTGTAAAAAGGGTTGCAATATTAGCATTTCATGAGGCACTCTCTCGTGTTCCTCGGGATCCTTTGGTGGTGGCAACTTTCAGTCTGGCTGTTCATAATGGTGGAGATATTCTAAAAGCCATCAATATTTCCAGGGGGATTAAGAGTTCTTACAATCAAAACTTCTCAGAAATATTGGAGCTCCTTATATGGGACGAAGATGAGAGGTTGATGAATGAGGTTTTAGACTTCGCTGGATCAGTGATTTCTGCATTAGGATCAATGACTGATGAATATTTTATTTCGCGAAGTATGGCACAATACCCTCAGGCTCCATTTTCTGATCTGGTGAGTTGCTTGCTTCTATTGATATTTTGGTTGTGTTTGATTACTGGTATCTTGTGTAAAAAGGAAATGAAAAAAAAAAAAAGAAAAAGATTTGCATACCTATCACTTAATTCCTGCGTGTTTACGTATCTAACACCTAAACTTCAATTTTTACGAGGTGCATTTACATACATACCCAATTCTTATGTATTTGCATATCTAACATGTAAAAAGTTTGATTTTACATTTATTCCTCTAAAATGTTTTATATCACATAAAAAATATCACTATTTTAACTTTTAAAATGTGAAATACAACTTATTATGCATTAGGTAAGGTGACATATTTAAAGATTAAAGTTTAGGTATTAGATATGTAATTCTTGAGAAATTGAGTGGCATGCATGTAAATCTTCTTTTCTACATATACGCCGCCTTTCTTGTGCATGAAAAAATTGTATTTCACTTTTTTGAAGTATTTAAAGATTAAAGTTTAGGTATTAGATATGTAAATACTTGAGAAGTTGAGTGGTATGCATGTAAATCTTCTTTTCTACATAAACGCCGCCTTTCTTGGGCATGAAAAAATTGTATTTCACTTTTTTGGAAGTTAAAATAGTGGTCATTTTGCTGTAACATGAAAGGTTTGAGTGGGATAGATGTAGAATGGAAAGTGAACGTGTTAGATTTGTAAATACATAAGAATTGAGTGGTAAAAAAAAACAACAGCTTGAAGGATCAAACCAATGGATTTAAGTTTTTAATCGCCACACAAGTCAGTTGCATTTCATTTAATTTTCACATTTTTTATTCGATTCAGGGCCTTAAAATTCCAAGAAAACTTGTAGCTTAGAGCTGAAGTAAGTATTAGTGAAGATATAATATACTAACAAAAATGACACAAATTTTGCACAAGCTTATTTATACTAAATGGTTTTTATTGAATTGTTAGTGAGATTTCAAGGATAATTATCATAGAGTGCATTTTTCCTTAAAATTAAGTTCAAAAATATCTTATTAAATCTAAAATAACATCAAGTTTAGTTTTGTAGTAAAATAGATGGTTATTCTCCATGCTGCAGTCCGATATTTTTAAAAGCAAATTTCTGACAAAAAAAAAAGTATTTTGCATACAATAATTCCTCTTGTGTATTTACATACACCTAAACTTCAATTTTTACATACATACCCCCTTACCTATGCATGAAAAGGTGTATTCACTTTTGAAAAGTGAAAGTGATGGAATTTTTTTATGTGATACGGAAGTTTTGTCCATTATAAATGTAAAAAGTGGAGTTTAGGTGTTAGATATATAAATATATAGGAATTGAGTGGCATGCATGTAAATACCACCCCAGTCCCGCCGCAGTTGTTCTTATTGAATTATTACTACACATGCTTTTCTTGTCCAATTGTCTACATTACCAATTCATTCAATACCCTCTCTTTTAAAGCATTAATGGTTTAAGTTTTTTGTTCTCTCTCTAATTGTAGGTATTCATTCCCCTACAACTTTATTTGAGAGTTTGTCGGATTTTTGAGTGCATTACAAGCAGAGATTCAGAAGGAGGCTTTGTTCCAAAACAAGGAAGTAAAATTAATTATCATAGTTTGGCCCATGGTGGTTTGTCTGAGCTCCGTCATGTCTTCGCCCGCATTGTTTTCGATACAGTTTATCCCCCAAATGCCGAAGAACTAGACACGAAAAGCTCCTCTTGTTCTGGTAGCTGACAACAACGACAATGGTGAGCCTAAAATCATCTTATTTATTTTAGAGCTCTTATGTGAGCCCCAACTTGAGTTGTAACTAAGCCAAGCTGACTCATGAGTAAGCTCGAGCTTGGCTCTATAAATGACTCGTGAATTGAGTTCGATGAGCTACAAGCCAAGCTCAAGCTAGCCACAACTCGACTCATTGGCTCGTGAGCCGACTCTTTTAACAAATAATTAATATAAAATTTGATACTTTATCTGCAAATTATTAAAAATGTTATTTTATATTTTATATCAAGTATTTTCTTATTATTTAACTTTTAATTGCTCATTCAATTTATCATTTTATATGATATTAGCTTGAATTAATATTATTTTCTCTCTTTCATAATAAATAAGTTGGCTCTCGAGTCTGCTCGAACTCGTAGAATTAAGCAAAGCTCGACTAGATTTCAATCAACTAAGCAAGCTTAAGCTTGGAGTGGCTTGAGCTCAACTCGACTCGTTTGCACCCTAGCCGGACTAAGGGTGTAACTAAGACAAGCACATCATGAGCCTGCTCCGGCTCTACTTGATAAGTCGCTGGTGAATTGAGCTCAATGAGCTAATAAGCCTAGCTCAAATTAGCCTTAACTTGACTCGTTAGGTCGTGAGCAAGCTCATTTAAAAAAAAAATTAATATAATGAAAATTGACATACATAGCACACAATTCTTATGTATTTATATTTCTCACACTTAAAGTTTCATGTTTACATACGTAGCCATTTGCTGCTTTAAAACTATGCATGAAAATGTCCATTTCACTTTTAAAAAAATGATAATAGTTCTATTTTTTATATGATACTAAAGATTTGAATGTTATCTATTAAAGTATGAAACTTTACTTGTAAGATATGCAAATACATATGAATTGTGCTAAGCATGTTATTGTTCCTAATACAAAACATACTTAAAGCATATTAAAATTCAATAATTCATCTTTAAATTATTAAAAATATCAAGTGGTCTTTTATTTATTATCTTCTAAATATTTGTTTTATTTGTCAATTTATTATAACATAAGCATAAATTAATATTATTTTTTCTCTTCCATAATAAACAAGCTAACTCGTGAGCCGGCTTGAACTCGCAGAATCAAGCTCGAGCTCGAACTCGATTAATCAGTCAAGCTCAAGCTCATGCTCGGCCCGACTGGTTTACACACCTTGCCTGGCTATGACCCTTCGATCTCTAATTGTGTCGTTTTTGCGGCGTTGGGTTAAGAAATTTGACACCACCTTGTCTAAACGAGGATTTTACTAATCTTTGTCATTTCATTTAGTGTCAGATGAAGAGAAGAAGAAGAGTGTGTTGCTGAAGCAGGTTGACCTCATATTTCTTCTCTGAACGGCATTGCACTTCTTGAAGGTAGGAGCTTATACTAATTTGGATTGATTTATGACAACATTTGCTTACATTTGAAATTTCATTACATCTGTTTGGGTCGAAAACACATTATTGTACAATAAAATTACATTCACACCATTCTTTTGTATTTACATATCTATTATCTGACACCTAAACTTTTACTTTTTTTTATATTTATACCACCTAAAACTTTCATATCACATAAATAATATCACTATTTTCATGCAGCGGTAATGTGATATACATTCAAAATTGAAGTTTTGGTGTTAAATATGTGAATACATAGGAATTAAGTGGTATGTATGTAAATCTTCAGCAGAGATTGCTAGGTGCGTATCCAGTACTCAAATGTAAATAATTTGTTGTGGACACTGTGAAGTTGCAATAAGAGAATTATTCCTCTTAAATGAATTATATCATGGTTTATTTGCTACTGTGGCTCTGTTATTTTAGGGACTGAAGTTAGATTGTAGTACCATTAAAGCTTTGATTTTGCTAAGTGAGATTTGTGAGTTGGTTCGAATTTAGCTTGAAAAATGGATTTTTTTGCATTGTCTTATATCAAAAATATTTAGTGACATTTACATACATACCAGACAATTCTTATGTATTTACATATCCAACACCTAAACTCTCATATTGTATGCATCCCTCACAAATCATTAACATCACATCAAAACTCTCATATTGTATACATACCAGACAATTCTCATATTGTATACATACCAGACAATTCTTATGTATTTACATATCCAACACCTAAACTCTCATATTGTATGCATCTCTCACAAATCATTAACATCACATCAAAAGTGCCACCATCACTATCTTTTTGAAAGTGAAATTCATATTTTTCATGCATAGATATATGGCACCAATGTATTAAAGGGTAAATATCAAACTTTGGGTGTTAAATGCGTAAATATATAAAAAATTCCCAAATATTTATAAATACTAGAATTCAAATGGAGATTAAGCACATATATTACAAATTTGGCCCATTTCTAATGTGATTCATTGTGGAAGACTTCATGTAGCCTATCATCTTTCTTTTCTCTAGATCTGAAGTACGATTAAATTCAATCATATTCACCAGATGTCCTAAAAGTCTTCCTAATATACATAACACAACTAAAAAATATTGGGGCATTTACATATATGTATCACCCAATTCTTATAATTGCATTCATATAATACCTTAACTTCATTTTTTATTTTATTTAATTTATTTATTCCACCCAAATCTTTTCATGTTGCATCAAAAGTACCACTATTTAAACTTTTAAAGACTGAAACATGCCTTTTCATATATGGGTATGGTGGCATATATGTAAAATTAAAGTTTTGGTGTTAGATATGTAAA